GAAAGAAAGAAAGAAAGAAAGAAAGAAAGAAAGAAAGAAAGAAAGAAAGAAAGAAAGAAAGAAAGAAAGAAAGAAAGTCAGTCCTTCAAATTGTAAAATGCCAAAGAGTAACGTAGGCTTGTTTGTTTATTGTATATCTGACTTTACAATTTGGACATGTGCTACATAATGTTCCCACTTCCTATTTTTACCACAATAACAATATTGTTATTATTGGTGGGTTTGGCTGAGAGACAGTATAACACTCTGCTATTCTAGAATTTTTCATAGATATATCAATCCTTCTAATATTTATTTCATATCCTTTGTCCATTTCTTTACCCCATTAAATTATTTCATTTGTTGCTGTTATTTTAAAAATATCTGGCATATCTGAATTAGTTGTTAGTTTACAGTGAAACTGTACCATGTGTTTGTTTATATATACTTTAAAAAACATGCTTTAAATTCAATTATCTATTGATCTGGGATAGACTCCTACTCCCTCTATACTACTACTGGCATATACTACTGGCAATTAAGCGATTTCACAGCACACTTTTTAATTATGATCAAGGTTGATTAAATTTCTCTTTCCAGCATGATCCACAATTATGATTTGATGTAGATCCCAGGTGTCAAACCCGTGGCGTCACGTTGCCATCACGTGATATATTGCATCGTTTTTCTCTTTGCGAAGCTGGGGGGTGGACATGGCCTGCATAAGTTGCATCTGGCCCATGGGCTGTCAGTTTGACATCCTGATGTAGATTTTGAATTAAAAGAAATTTTATTAATCTTTTCTATAAATCAATTGTTTCTATTTATTCGCTTTTTATCTCACCTTTATTATGTTATAAGCAACTCAAGGAAGCAAAGATACACAATATTCCTTCCCCCTATTTTTCCCACAAAAAAATGGGGTGAGACAGAGAGAGAGGCTGGCCCAAAGGTACCCAGATGACTTTCATATCCAAAATAGAACTAGAATTCACAGCCTGGTTTCTAAGCCAGTACCTTAACCACAAAATCAAACTGGTTCTTCTTTTGAATAGATATAGTTAATTGGATATATTATTGTAATCAAAAGTATTACAGGGAATATCATACAAGACTGACTAATAATAACAATAATAAACATATTACAATGCCGATATATTATGACATTCTAGGTTCTTGGGAAAAACCAGTGTATATGAAGGCCAATACCAGCTAAAGAAGTCATAGCCATGGATTTACATTGTTAGTTATCAACTAACAAGGTTTGTAATATGAACATAATGTTACTTATTAGCATTGTTAGAATGCAAATCGTCTTCTTTCAGTAATAATGAATTAGATGAAGTAGCTCCAATTGCTACTACATACTAATCTGTCCATTTTTATACCATTGCCAAAGCCATTAAACGTTGTCATATTTTAAGGGTGGAACTACTCTGTGAGTATAGTCAGCCTTCCTAGAGTGTGGCATGGTGACATGCAATAAAAATCAAATTGTAGTATTACCTCATCCCAAAAAGCTGTTATTTTATCCAGTTCAAGGCCCGTGGTTGTTAAATTATATTCCAGTGTTTTGTATTCGTCTTTTTGCAAAAAATCCTGTAAATTTAATTGTGAGAGTTTTAAAGACAAATATAACACAATATACTGAACTTTGGACATTTAAATGTTTCTTTTTTATTTTCCGGTTCTCATACCAAATAATGTTAATTACAAGACAGAAATAAATAACTATAAATAGCCTATCTATTCTAATGAAAATGTATATTGAAAGCTGTGACATGATGTGGTGGGAAAATGTCAAGCAAAATGTTTTAATAGTGAAACAAGTCCTCCTTATTATATCTGGATTCTTATTACTTCTTAAGTCAAAAATATGAACTAGTTAAATTCACCTCTATTAACCAAATCTATGCTATAGTTGCTTCCTATTACAAAAAGTTGGACTTGGGGCTATCCTTGAAGAATAAGGGAACATGGCGGGGGGAGGGGGGGAGACATGGTTTAAATCTTTAAATATATTAATGTAAAAAAGGCTCTAGAAAGCAGCATTTTCAATATTAAAGCAAAAATGAATAACTTCAACTGACAGGTGGGAAGTTCAAAAATAATGTTAGCAAATTGTACAGAAAGAGTAGTGAGGGCTTGGAACCAACATCTAGCAGAGGTAGTGGGTCAATCATCTGAGTTTAAACATGCCTGAGATAAATGCATGTTCATTATATGACAAAAATCTAAATAAAAAAATTAAAAACTCAAAGGACAGACTCAACGAACCACTAAATATTTTTCTGCTGTCAGTTTTCTGTTTTTCTATAAAGAAGCAGCATAGACAGCAATGTATTTTTTTTTCTTAACCAATTTATGTGGCTACCTATCTTAATGAAATAACTCTCAGCAGTTAATAAAAAATATGCATAAAATACCACACTACAAAGTCATGAAATAACAGAGAATTTCCCCACCAAGACACAAAACAGGCCACAAGTACTGGTCTCAACTAACATAGTGAATTCTGCATTTGAGCTAGGTCTTCAAGACCTCCCCGAAGACCGACAGAGTTGAAGCCATCTTAATACAAAGGGCAGACACTAAAAAAAGTAAACATGCTGGCTGGTTCCCACTAGATGACATAGTTTCACAGAAAAGACCTGCAATATATCTAGTCTGCTATAATTGGTGGGGTAGGTGGGCTCTAGAACCCATCTGTGAGACCATATCATAATGGGTGTGCCCCAATATATTTAGGTGATCTTTAGCTTTGGGAGATCCATTGGTTGTCTGTGGGCTTCTGAATATGATTCAAAGTGCTATTTGTCACCTATAACACTCCAGGCTCTAGTTATTCAAGACACCCTCTCCTCTGGCAATCTACCTATCCAGCCACACAGGTGAAGCTCGAAAAATTAGAATGTCGTGCAAAAGTTCATTTATTTCAGTAATGCAACTTAAAAGGTGAACCTAATATATGAGATAGACTCATTACATGCAAAGCAAGATAGTTCAAGCCGTGATTTGTCATAATTGTGGTGACAAAGGCTTATAGCTCATGAAAACCCCAAATCCACAATCTCAGAAAATTAGAATATTACATGCAATCAATAAAACAAGGATTGTACATAGAACAATATCGGACCTCTGAAAAGCAGAAGCATGCATATGTACTCAGTACTTGGTTTGGGCCCCTTTTGCAGCAATTACTGCCTCAATGCAGCATGGCATGGAAGCTATCAGCCTGTGGCACTGCTGAGGTGTTCTGGAAGACCAGGATGCTTCAGCTCTTCTGCATTGTTCGGTCTCATGTCTCTCATCTTTCTCTTGGCAATGCCCCATAGATTCTCTATGGGGTTCAGGTCAGGTGAGTTTGCTGGCCAATCAAGCACAGTAATCCCACGGTCATTGAACCAGGTTTTGGTGCTTTTGGCAGTGTGGGCAGGTGCCAAGTCCTGCTGGAAAATGAAGTCAGCATCCCCATAAAGCTCGTCTGCAGAAGGAAGCATGAAATGCTCCAAAATCTCCTGGTAGAGGGCTGTGTTGACCCTGGACTTAATGAAGCACAGTGGACCAACACCAGCAGATGACATGGCTCCCCAAATCAACACAGACCGTAGAAACTTCACACTGGACTTCAAGCATCTTGCAGTGTGTGCCTCTCCATTCTTCCTCCAGACTCTGGGTCCTTGGTTTCCAAATGAAAGGCAAAAGTTGCTCTCATCAGAAAAGAGGACTTTGGACCACTGAGCAACAGACCAGTTCTGTTTTTCTTTAGCCCAGGTAAGACGGACGCTTCTGACATTTGTTGTTCAGGAGCGGCTTGACAAGGGGAATACGACATTTGAAGCCCATGTCCAAGATCCGTCTGTGTGTGGTGGCTCTTGATGCACTGACTCCAGCCTCAGTCCACTCCTTGTGAAAGTCCCCAACACTTTTGAATGGCCTTTTCCTGACAATCCTCTCCAGGCTGCTGTCATCCCTGCTGCTTGTGCACCTTTTTCTTCTACACTTTTCCCTTCCACATAACTTTCTATTAATGTGCTTTGATAAAGCACTTTGGGAACATCCAACTTTGTTTGCAATTACCTTTTGAGGCTTTCCCTCCTTATGGAGGGTGTCAATGATGGGTTTTTTTTGCACAACTGTCAGGTCAGCAGTCTTTCCCATGATTGTGCTTCCTACTGAACCAGACTGAGAGACCATTTAAAGGCTCAGGAACCCTTTGCAGGTGTTATGGCTTAATTAGCTGATTAGAGTTGGGACACTTTGAGCCTAGAATATTGAACCTTTTTACAATATTCTAATTTTCTGAGATTGTGGATTTGGGGTTTTCATGAGCTGTAAGCCATAATCATCACAATTATGACAAATCACGGCTTGAACTATCTTGCTTTGCATGTAATGAGTCTATCTCATATATTAGTTTCATCTTTTAAGTTGCATTACTGAAATAAATGAACTTTTGCACGATATTCTAATTTTTCGAGTTTCATCTGTATACTATAGCATCAACTGTCTCCAAATCCAGTACTGTCACTTAATGAAGCCTCAGTTCTGGGCTTTTTCCATCACTGCCCACATCATCTGGAATACCCTCCTGGTCGAATTTCTGCCTGCTAAGTTAAAACTGGTTTCCCAAATAGCATTTAATAAAAGTCAGTAAAATAATACTCTAACATATTTTGTATGATAAATTGGCAAGATAAGACACCACAAAAGAATAAATTATAACTTGCAATGAATTAGATTTAGATACTATACCTGTATCTTGTTTATTGCTCCAAGAGAATCATACCATGTCTGCACTGCCCAAGGGAACTGTCTAGTGACTGTCATACGAAGAACAATGCAGTATGATATGGTAGTAAATATTTTTCTAAGGAAAATTCCATGGATCAGTGCATATGGAAGGACAGCCAAAAATACCACAAAAAAACCAGAGAAGAAGAAAGCCGAACTATTGAAGTATCTCACATATGCAGCTTTTTGAGTCAGCTTCAGTTCACTTCTGTAAAATGATAGGCAAAAACTGAAAATCCAATACAAAAATTGAAACTCTACAGCTAGAATGGCATAATTCTAAAATATGAAACAATTATGAATGCAAATAAAAAAGTTTTGAAAGTTACAGTAGTTTGGAATGTGTATTCTCAATACCTTTTTATTCATAACAATTAAACTGAGTAATAGAAATTAGCGAAAAGATTGTCCAGTAGGCTTCAGGGCTAAGTGAGAATTTTAAATTCAAAGAATTTACTACTATCCTATAGTCTGCATGGATTAATATTTTAAGTTTGAAATAAGGGGCTTACTGCTACAACAACACTCTACCTTCTAAAGCAGGGGTCTCAAACGCCTGCTTTTGTCATGGTGGCATCACGTGACATATCGGGACTTTTTTTTCCCCTTCACTAAACTGAACGTGGGTTTGGCCACTGCATGACACATCTGGTCCACGGGCTGGGAATTTGACAGCCCTGTTCTAAAGCAAAATGCAGTTCTTCAACTTCAAATTACACTGAAACCATCATTAGATATAGCTGGCAAGTTATGACATTATATTTGCTACTGCATCTGTTTTGCTGTCAAAATTCTAGAGATTTCAGAAAATTATATAAGTCAAAGAATCTATGGGTAGGGCCAGAATAATTATTTTCTCTGTGTAAATGTGGGTATGTCTGTGGTAAGGAAGAGTGATATGCTATAAAAAAAACAAAAACAATGAAAGCAACTTCCCTTTTCTTTTGTCTTAAAATTTATTTCATTTTATCTCTAATATGACTTTTAAAAGATTCTAGATCTGAGGTTTTCAAATTAACTACTGCCAAATAAAATAATTCAAGCATTTTGAGAAATTATCTCCTTCTATTATTTCTGGAAAGCGGAGTCTTGAAATATAAATTAACTAGAGAAGTAAAGTGCAGTAAATGTTTCCTATTGACTTGTTAGAATGCAAGGGTTTATGTGCAACAGTTCAGGAAACAACAAAGCTCCTTATTAATGTAAGTCCAGACAGAAATATGTACAGTGATATAATGAAGAGAAAGCAGTAAATTTTGTTTTAAAGCACACTTCACTCTAGCAGAGTGCTGTAGCAACGGGAAGTTAATCAATCAAGGAGTATGTATCATCAAGGTTGAATTGAGAAGAAAAACTCTTTTCCCGGAGATTTTAGTAGACTTGAGTTAATATCAGCAGTCAAACACTAAAGCAGATTATGAAGAGTTTTAGAGAGAGAAAAATAGCGGAAATATCTGACCAAAAAGACAGCAAATCAAATTCACTGTTGAGATTTGGAACATGATCAGATAGGGGTGGGGAATTCTTTGCCTCAAGATTATGCTTAAACCAGGTACAATTAAATTATGTTGATTTGGTTTCAATGGAGAGAAAGAAGTTATAGAAAATTTAATATTATTGTTATGCTAAATAGCAATAGCTAATATTAGATGAAAAATCAGTTGGACACACCTCCAATTAAATATCTTTAGTACTGAAATAATCAGCAGTACTAGTGAATCAGTATAGGTGAAACAGTTAAGGTATAAATTCATGGACAATTTGGAAAAAGTAAATGAGAAAATTAAATACAACACAAATTTGAAACAAGAGACTGGTATTTTAATGAATGAAAATCAGAAATCATGGCTATTATTTTTCTTTTTAAAAAACAAAACAATTTAAGCAATTTAATACTGACAATGTATAAATGTATAAATCTATTCAAATATTTTTGATAAATATCAATTAGAGTCTCATTGCCAACACTTCTCTATTTCTATTCTGAGCTCCTTTCATTCCTTTCATTCTTAAATATTGTGTTTCAATATCACACTTTCAGGGTATAAAGGATCTTCAAATTAGATTGAATTTCTTTTACCTGAGAAGATTTATGGTTGTAATTTTAGCATTCTTTCTATTTTCTAAAAAAGTAGAGTCTCTAATAAATTTTAACTTATTATTTATAATTTGTACACTGTGTACCAGATACTAAGTCTCCAAGTTTTCTTTTTGAAAAAATAGAATGTAATGGCACACCCAGTTCTACAGTAAGTTCTGCAAAACAAATAATAAACTATTTATTAAGGAAAACATAGAGTAATCATATAATATTTACGGAAATGACTCATAAAATAATTCTAAATAGTAAATAATCTAGTCCCAGATACAAAGTCTGAGAAAAATACCTATTCACAAATATGGGCTTTTATCTATTTTATCTATTATTTCAGCAAAGAGGTAGAATTACACAGGAATGTGAACAAATGATTACTTTTTGCTTCTTTGACATTTGGTGTCCTTTTAAAAATAAAAATCCTGACAAATGATATTGTTAAAAAAAAACACTTTAAAGAAACCTAAAAATATGTTCCCTAGGGCAGCGGTCCCCAACCTTTGGGGCAACAGGGACCAGGTCCATGGAGAGAGGTCTTCCAGTGGACTGGAGGAGATGTGGGTTTATGTGCTGCCTGCATACCATGGGTGGGACTTTGCTTGTTTGTGGGGCCCTCTTTCTGCTATGCTGCAGCCCCCATAGACGGGGGATTGGAAATTTCTGCCCTAGAGTTCCATGTCAACAGCTCCTTAAAAAATCAGCCGACCTTCAAAAATTAAGGAGAGAAGGAAATGGGAAACAGGGCTGAAGTTTAAAATGTTTCCATTTATATCATTGTTTTTTAACAATCTCAGAATAAACTGCATACGGCTAAAGTTTCATTTCGTTTTGTGTATCTCAGTTTCAGATGATATGAAATTCAAAAGAATTCTATACGATCTAAATCAGCAGCCACCAACCGGCGGGCTGCGGCCCACAGGTGGGCCGTGAGAAAATTTTGGTGGGCCGCAGAGACATCTCACCCCCAGAGCACCCCCCCCCAAAGCAATTAATCCAGGCTGCGCAGAAACACAAGTGCTGTGCCGCCCACATGGCCCGCGGGAACCCTCCCCGCCCACTCACTCCTTACCCGGTAAACTTGCCTGCTAAATTTCTATTTTTCCTTTTTCCGACCATCATCTGTTCTCTGTGCTGGGAGATTTAGATTAGCTAGGAAGCAGAAAATGGTTGGATTTCTTGCTTTCCAGCTCGTCTTTAAATCTTCGGCTCTGCTTTTAAGTACAGTCGAACCTCCCTTAGGACCGAAGGTTTGCTTGCAAGCAAATTCAGTGCAAACTCATGGCAAGCAAATTTGAGAGACTGAGCTAGCCAATGGCAGATAGATAGATAGATAGATAGATAGATAGATAGATAGATAGATAGA